TTGTGATCGTGACGTCATGCGGGGGGGCGGGTCGAGGGGCGGGGCCGTACTGTCAATGCCCGGGCACGCACGCCCCCTGTTGGCCGCTCGGCGCAACCGCGCCCGGCAGGTGGAGCCGTTTTCACCCGTTTGCGGAGTAGCGGCTTTTTCCCCCCCTCCCCGCGAGCTACAGGCATTTATTCCGAAGCCCTCCGAGGGCACTGGCAGTGACACTTCCCAAGACATCAACTATTCGGTTTTACAACCACAGAAACTTGCAGTGTGGAGCTCTGCTTCCCGCAAACCCGCGGCAAGTCAGCCAGATCACAGAATCATAGGATCAGCTAGCTTGGAAAAGACCTTTAAGATCAACAAGTCCAACCGTTACCCCAGGACTGTCAAGTCCACCACTAACCCATGTCACTGAGGGCCTCATCTACACGGTTTGTGAACGCTTCCAGGGATGGTGACTCCACCAGTTCCCTGGGCAGCCTGTTCCAATGCCTGATCACCCATTTGGTGAAGAAATTTTTCCTAACATCCAGTTTAAACCTCCCCTGAGGAGGTGACCCAGCCCTGCCACGGGAGGTGGGACACCCACCGGTGCCAAAGCAGGCACCGCTAGTGTTTCCCTTCCCTTGGCAGTGCTGAGAGGCCAGGTATGAGCTCCTTCCCCCAGTGGTATTAACAAAGAAGAGATTTTCTTCAGCGCCGTAGTGTTTGAAGGGGTTGATATTTACCAACAGTCTTCAGGTGAATTGTTCTTGTGATCTCATACATTACACCTTCAAATGGAAATGACATCTTGCAGGTGTAATAGCCAGAGTCTGTTGGTAGCACAGAATTCATGATCAGAGAAGTCGAACCTTTCAGAATTACGAATTTTCCACTGTCAGCTTCCAAAGGCAGAGCATCCTGGAGAAAGGATGGGAATTGGTGTTATGGCTCAGACAGGTGTGGTTACAAAATCACTTATCCTTGTCTCTCTGGTGTTAAAAGTTCATTTAATCACTGGGAAATCTGAGCAGTTCCACTTTCCCACCAAAGGGAAAGATTTTCAAACGTACATCCATCTCTAAAATGCTCTGAGGCACTATATGGAGTGTGAAAAAATGCTATTTTAATCTATGTGTCTACAGCTTCTCAATAAAGTGCATATTTTAAGATGGAAAAAAAACTGTCTCTTTCATGATTCCTCTTAATCATCTTAGACATTCCTCCAAGACAAAACCATTTTAGTAACCGTAATGGTTTTCACAACACTATCACTTCCCATATGTGACCTCGTAAGAGTAATATTCTAAGGCATTCTTTGAAGACAAACACTAGTAATCATGCAGGTTTTCACAAAACTGTTGCTTACCTAACATAGGATTGCAGAATGGTTTGGGTCGGAAGACCATCTAGTTCCAACCCCCCTGCCACAGATGAAGTCAGCCTAGTTATTACTTCCCATGGCAAGAATGACAGGTACATGAGGCAGAGCATATGCTTATAGTGGGAGTGTAAATAAAAGCTAAAGCAAGGTCTTACGAAAACATAAGAAGAATCCCATGCTGTCCGGTGTGAGATTGTACAGCTGAGGATGACCAAGTGAGCAATATTTGACTTCACAGGCAAAGCCAAGCTTGCCTACTTAAAAAGCAAGTTAGGCAAGAGGATACTGGAAGCATTGTGTGATGAATCTTGTACTTCCAAATGCTGTATTCCAGATGATTAATGAAAGCTACCCCATCTGAGCACTGGGGAAGCATCACTGGGAAGTCCTACTTTATGGGATTCATTAGAGAGGCCACAAAAAGAAGCACAGTGATGAAGAGAAGGGCCCAATCAGAAGTTGCAAACCCTGGAGTCAGGGTACATAATCTAGCCTTTAAAATAGTTACACTGCCTGGGACAGGATATTACATGTGGAGCACTTCACCCAGCGCTAAGTCTACCCCAGAGAACCTTTCTTAAAATATATACGTCTGCTCCCAGATTCCCAGGATCTTCTGCTGTGCTCATGACTTTAACAACATGATGTTCAGGAGAAACAGAAAATGGAGATGTACGTGCCTTTACAAACAGGTTGGGATTAGGGTTTGCACAGAGGAGGAGAAAGTTCTACCTTGTACCACTTGAGCTCCAGGCTTGTGCCATTTGGTGTAAAATCCCATAGCTCAGGGCAAACGATCTTTCCGGAGGTGAAAGTGAAGAGGACCTGGAGATAGGCAATCTCCTGAGCAGCTGTTTTCTCCATGACTGTGAGGTGGATGGAGACCTCAGCACAGTAGGAGGAGTTTCTGTAGATAGAATAGGGAGAGGTGAACACCCACCAGCGACAAGGGAAACTTGAGTGACACCTTTGAGTTTCCTCCTGGCTCCATTTCCCTCCTCAGCAGTTTCTAAGAGGCCAAGACTGAAATCATACCAGGAGGGATCCTGGAAAATCACTGGTGCCCCTGCAGTGCAGCTGGGAGCTGCAAGCAGATGGACTCACACTACTGGTAGGGCTCTGAATCTGCTGTCACCTATAGGTCAGATGCCAAAATCCAAAGTACGTCTTAGCAGAAGCAGAGATCTGTGATAATTTGCTTCTACCTTCCTGTTGAAAAAATCTGGCAGCTTCCCTGTGGGATGATTTGCAAAGAAAAGACAATTTATCTTTCTCAAACAGGTTTCACAGGATTTTACTATAGCTCTCAGTAATACTGGCACAGTGTTGTAGGTTGAGGAACTGATGCAGAATAGTCCAAAAAGTGGATTTAAAAACACCCTCGAAAGTCTCAGGCAACTACTCTGTGCTCTAGGACAATATTTGCAACCTTTTGCTATTCTGGCCTCACTATCAAATCTTTTCTGCTCTGCCTCTGCAGTCTCTGCCTAGACATGTGGAAAGGACAACCCAATATGCTGAGTATGATTTATTAACTTCTGCCTGTCCATCTCTTCCACTGCTGGCATGTCACTCACGAGGGGTGCCTTGCCAGCAAGGAAACTGCACCGTATACAGGCAGCTCCAGGGATGTAGAGATGTTTTCCTCCATAGGCCCCAGAGCAAGGTTCTGGTTGCCAGGGGTGTTCTGGGAGGATTCATGGATGGAGGAGCTGGCAGGGGACAAGGACCTGGGACTCGTGGAGTTCAGGCTTTCATGGTGATAGGTGGTTTTGCCTTCCTCAGTTGCCCACAAATCCAGACCCTGGTACCTCTTTTGAAACTGTATAGCGGGCCGTCAGATTGTAAACACTCAGAAAAAGGTGACTGGAAAAAGCCATGGCTTCAGTCTCAACCCACTGCAATGTCGAAAGTCTGATACCAGTGTAGTAAATACATGCTGGGTCTCGTGCAAGATCTTCTAGAAATACCAGGGCAGTCAAATTCTAATTTAAAATGTGAAGCAAAAGAAAAGATCAGGGATAAGGAAGAGGGAAGGAAACCACTGCAGGATCATGGTGCCCTGGTATATGACTCATAAGGCAACCTGAAGTGCAAACAAGGCTATTTGCTTTCCTGGAACTGTAAAACAAAGGTTGCATTCTGCAGCATCCCCTGCCTGCAGCATGTCCCCATTTGCCATAGCCCTGACTGGCTCATAAATAAGCTAGAACAAGCTCTCTGTACACTATTTCCTCGTGAGATCATAGCCAGAGCGGCAATACCGTGTCACGATTATCTTGATTTCAGTTATGTAGAGACAATGCATTGAAGAGTTCTGACTTTCAACATTTGTTTCTCTAATAAAGTCAGCAAGGAAATCATCTTATGCAGGCATACTCTGAACATAACTGGAGTTTAGAATCCAGCTAATGTGGTTTTGACACAGTCATCTTGTTAGTACTCTGGATTTTCTTTTAAATACCCACCTTCTGGTGCAGATATATACTCCTGAGTCTTCTAGCATTGCTGGTAAAAACCAGAGTGCATCTCCTTTTGCCCAGATTCTTGGATCTTCATCTCTTCCTGATATCATGGTTTTTGAACCATTTTTATACCATGTGATATTAGGGGTCAAGGCAGAAAAATCCAAATGTTTGTATCTGGGGGAAGGGCATTTCAGAACCACAGGTTCTCCATGCAGTTCATAGTAATGTTTGAAATACACGGTGTGATGTGGGCAGTTTTCTATATAAATCAGAGATATTTTTACATTACTGTCAGCCAGGCACATGAAAGAGAAGGGAGAGGGAGACAGAAGAGGAAAAAAAATCGCATCCTTACCTGTACTTTTGATCTGGTGGAGTCTGAAAGCGGAGGCACCCAATGTGCATGTCACCAGGACAAAGAAGAGCCCACACATTTTTTCCCAGAGGAAATCAGAAGGAGAAGATCAAGGGAAAGTGTTTTGAAATCTACAGGGAAGTTTATTACAAGACAGAAGATACAATGAAAATACTGAACATTAACTTAAGGGTTATCTGCTGTTTTCCTCACTCCCTTAGTTCACCCTTAGTGAGCAGAAAGGCTCCTTCATCTCTAGTTTATGGGGCCTGACTTGTGGAACAAGAGTATCTGGCTTGGGAAGAACACATTATTTCTGTCCCTTTCCTTTCACTTTAGGAGATGCAAACAACATACCACAAGATGCTGCTGTCCCCACAGCTTTTCAGTGCAACAGCTACGGGTGGAAAAATAAAGCTCTGCTTATTTTGCAATAAGATACGACTGAGGCACAGGTCAGCTGCTTCATCTTAGCTGTAGTGTAGTAGCTTGGGTGAACACAGGAGCAAAGATGCAGCAGAATAGACTTCAGTTCTTTTAAGCAGTCACTTCAGGCGTTCTGTGGCCACCATTAAATCCTGTGTCTCTTTATCTTCTCCTCCATGGCTATCGAAGTAGGACAGCTAGCATAGATGAGGCTGCAGGCAAACTTCCTGCCATAAGCAAAGCCAAGCTTTCAAAGTCTCCAACAAATATTTCTTTTGGGACAAAACATGACTCTGATGGCATGCACACCCACCTTGCTATTGGTGCACAAGTGAGTTTTCAACATGGACACTGTCACCATATGTGCTAAGAGAGGTGAGGACAACCTCGAACAACTTGTCCTAAAAATCAGACAGTGACACTGCTACTCAGCTGACAGATTATGTGTTATCTCAGTGTATTTCAAGCAAAAATAGATAAAACATGCTATGTACAGGCACCAGTTTATGTTCTATGCAAGGTATTTATGTGCTATACAGTACACGTATGCATGTGATACATACTATTTCCATTTTATACAGAGAAATGCAAATTGCCTGCATTCAGCATAGCCCAACACTATGATTGTCCCATGGGACGAACATTAAATGACTGGACAATTATTTCAAATTGTATCCAAAGCAAAAAAGATATTTCTACCTATATAATACAGTCATATTCTTGGGTACTCACCTTCGGGCATCTTCCATGTATCCCACCATGCTCATACTTACAACACAGTTTTAATCCATTTTTCTTCCTGTTCTAGTAGCTATATTTATCTGACATCTGATAGTTTGACTATAATATACTATTTCTAGCTTATTGTCATCTCCACCACACCACAAAGCCAACCTCTTGCTCAATAATACTGTTTCATAACCGTGTGTCTTCTCCCTTACTGCTAGATCTGCAAGGTTTTCAAGAGTACCGGCATGGAGCTTTAGCCCCTCTCGGCTATGTTTGGACAGGTGCTAGTGGCTCTGTCTGAGGCATTAACAAGCCTTGTGGTTCACATATAATACTCTGTAACAGGGAAGTGTCTCTCTCATTAGACCCTTTGCCTGATGAAAATACTGGGTTATTTTGTTCAGAGCTTTCTGGTCCCTTTGGTTTAGTATCTACCAGTCTCTACAAGCACTACACAATCTGAGGGTTTAGAGAGGTATCATTCTCAAGTTACCATCAGATTCACTTACCTGTGATTCAGAAGCCTTTCAGCCACTAGCTTCTCATTAAAAGATGTAAGAAAAGTGCTAGTGAGGACCTTATATAGGGTTTAGCTCAACACACAGCGGAAATTTGTCTCTCATTGCCCAATCAGGTTTGTGTCAGAAGCAAACGACATTTTAGACCCACCTTTCTTTCCTTCCGTAGAGTGAGGATGAGGGAGAAAGAGAGAGAATATGTATTTGGATTTCCCAAAAAGAGGGGAAATGGATGCTAAATATATGACTAAATTTCCCTTTTTCTGACGAATGGTACTTCGCATACACTCATGTCTTCACATGATTATTTCACACTCTGCCTCAAATAAAAAAATCTCATGGGTAACAAAAGGTGTCCTGCAGCATAGTCAGCAGCTACATTGTTGCAGTCTTTACATAATGTGGTTTAGCAAATTCTTCATGGACAACATATATCTTTTATGATTTCCCAGATCACTTGTGAATCACAAATGGGTTGATTCCCCCTTCCTTCCACCCATCTTAGTGTCACAGCTTACATTAGGGCTCTCTTTGCAATGGAGTATAAAGAAGGTCTTGGGCGTGTTGGTCAATGAGAAACTGAACATGAGCCAGCAATGTATGTTTGCAACCCAGAAAGCCAACTGTATCCTGGGCTGTATCAAAAGAAGCGTGACCAGCAGGTTGAAGGAGGTGATCCTGCCCCTCTGCCCTGTTATTGTGAGACCCCACTTGGAGTATTGTGTCCAGTTCTGGTGTCCTCAAGATAAAAAGGACGTGCGGCTGTTGGAGCAAGTCCAGAGGAGGCCACAAGGATGATGCTATGGAGCACCTCCCGTATGAAGACAGGCTGAGAAAACGTGGGCTATGTGCTTGGTTTGCACATATTCCTTTGTGCAGGCAGCATCTGCCATATTACAGCAACTGCAGTAAATAAGAAAAAGAAAAAAATCACAAAGCCCTATATTTCAATCTGTAACGGTCTTTACAGTTTCTATATCCTGATCAATGCAGTCATTGCAAAGGTCTCTACAGCTATCAGCCCCACACATGGCTGTTCAGATTTTCCTTAAATAGTCCTGTTATCCACAATCCCAAAAGGCTGATAACACAACTAAACTTAGTTACTGCCCAGGAGCACTCCATCCATGAAAAGAAAAACTTATCTCCATTGATAATAAACTCCCACGTCTGGGCTACAAAACCATTGGTCTTCTGAGAATCTGACCTCGTGTATTATAAAATTATTTCAGTTCTTTCTTTTCCAGGTCACTATATGACAACCAGACAGAAGGGCTGTCAGGCTGGGTGACCTCTGTTACATTAAGTCTAAGTTCAGACTATTACTGTGTAAGTGACTTAAGCAATAGACGTGGGAGTCTTCAATGGTAACACTGGTCGCAAGAGCCAGGCCCAGCAAATAACTCAGAGGTTTACCAGGCTCAGAAAGAGCAAAACTTCAGGAAATGATGTTTGATGTCTTTGCAAAGATTGCACCTACCAGCCGCTGCAAACGCATTCATTGCACTCACTGAGTAAAGCCATCCAACAGCAAGCTGTTCCGTGAGCAGCAGAACTAGCATCACCTGCTTTCCTGGGGATTTGTGCTCCATGCCCTGACACACACACACCCCTCCACTGCAGCCACCTCAGCTCTTCCCTCATGGCCTTTCCCCACCACGCTCCAGCCCTTTCCTTACTCCCAGTTATGACCCTCTGCTCCCACCTCACCCATGACTAGTTTATCTAGGCCAGGTGCGGTGCATCCTTGGGATTACTCACAACTACATCAACGCTAACCGGTCAGCTTGTCATTGCCCATCACCATGTGTAAGGACTGGGCTCTGTTTGACTTCTCCTCTATGAGGCAGTGCTTTGGGTTTCCCATCCATACACAACAGCAGCAACCAGCTTTCCTCAAACTACTACAACTCCAGACTCTGAAAACACAGCCCCTTGGAAAATGCAGCTGAAGCAAGCTAAAGGGTTCAAAGTCAGTTTATAGTGCAGTAGCATATGCTGACCTGCTTTAGACAAATAAACTAAACCCAAATATCTACAGAGTAGCAGTGCAGTTCCCAGATAGCATAATGTCCTCAGATACACCTAATATGATCAGCACTTTCTATCAGCTTCAGAAGAGCTCTGTCCTAGACAGGTTTTGTTTACCCAGAAAACATCCTGATCACATGCACAAGTACCAGGACTTTAAGTTAAAATAATGTATCTGGAGATACAAAAGTTTGGTTTAAAATAACTGAGGAAGAAATGGAACACAGAACAAGTAATTTTTTTTTTTCTTTTTAGGAGCTGTCTCCTGAGAAGGACATGTCACTTTGCGGTCATTTATGACTGACTATTTATAAACAGAAATATGCAAGTCTAGCAACTGTATGTATAGAGAGACTCTTTTAGGGAAGCTGGTATCATTCTGTGGTTTCGTTGTGCTGATGATTCATTTAAACAGTTCAAGATGCTGCAGCATAGCTGTGAAATTCCTAGCTTGAAGACCAGGCTATTCCCCATGTGTGTCACTCATTGCTCATCTCACTAGATCGCTATTTCCCGCACCAGGGCTACATGTAGCTGCCTTGCAGCATTCAGGTGGATTTTGCTCCCTTAGGACATCCCAGTAAAATAACCAAAATCTCAAGCAGTATTTAGCATTTTGGCACTTCCTTGCAACAGAGGCTTTCAAAAGGCCTTCACAAGCAAGGTGTGTCTGTTCATTATCCCTAGTCCATGGAAGCAGAAATGGAAATTCAGGCATTGTAGAGTGGGGATAAGGCCATTTCTTTAAGGGACAGTTAAGGTGCCAGATTTTTCTAGCAACTCTCAGGTTCTGTTGTGCGTCCTGGAGGAACTCACCCAAGTGGCTTTGTGGCTGATGATGTTTGGCATCCAGGAACTGCACTCACATGGACTTTGCTGTTTATTCTATTACTCTGTTTGGCTGAGCCAGCTTCACGCGATTAAAAATAGGAGAAAATTTCTCTAGTTCACATAAGAATAAGGTGGCAAGACATTAAGAAATATTGAATGTTGAAAGCTAACTGGCAAGCAGATGCAAAGTAAACCACAACTATTACACCAACACATGTTCTTGGGCTTACTGATATAGGCAAACCTGGTTTTAATAATTTATAATGTCCTTGTGCATAGTTCCCACATGGTCTCTTGTGGAGCACTGAAATGGAGAAGGAAGAAAAGCAGCAATCCAACTCTGAGAATCACCAAATAGATGGGACAGAATGAGAAAGACTAAACAGAGGAATTAGCCCAATGCACAACAGATGTTAAGAATACAGGAATTTGCATGCTTATCCAGAGAAATAATGCTGTCATATAGCAGTTGTATATGACTGACTTGAAGAAATAGGAGGAGGTGGGCCAAGAGATATACACTTTGTCATGAGAGAGTACTCATTTGGCCAGAGTAGTAACAGCTTGATTGCAGATAGCCTTCTTGCTATGGGATCCTGGGATTTCCACAGACCCTTTCACTGCACAAGAAACCAGGCAGGCTGTGAAGAGCAGTTACACTGTCAAGAGCTAGAAGGGACATGGAGGAGGAGACCCTCACTGTGGAAGTCAACAGGTTGCAAGGGATGAAGTAATCACTGAAAGGCCCAGATCCAGCCACAATGGGGCCAAAAGTACTTCAAGCAACAAAAAGTGCCTCACCTGCCCTCACCACAAATGGCATTTGGGTTGACAAAGGGGGGTCACCCTGCATTGGCCATCCATGATGTCAACATCACACCCATGTTTGCAATGCCTGCCTGGGATACCGGAAGGTCTTTATGTTGCCCACTAGTGCTGCACACAGACTGCCAGCAGCAGATTAAATTGTCTGTGTGCAGACATGCAGCCATAGACAGATGAAATAAAGAAGTTGTTTCTAAAAAAGTGTGATCTCCTGTCTTTTTGTTTAAGGGAGAAAAACATCCTTGGGCACAGCTCACATGATGTAATGCAATGTTGATAAGCAGTGAAAGAGGACAGTTGCAAAGCTAAGTTTGTTGAAAGCTGCAGAGGTAAAATGGTATCTATTTCTGTCCCTATACACTGAACTGGAAAGTGTAATCTAAATTGCTAGTGACAGTCTTACCATCACCACCTCCGAATGCCACTCTAAAATTACAATAAGAATGAAAAAAGATGTCTTACTGCCCTTCTTTCTCCCATGGATAAAATTATGTATAGAAATCCTGAATTTTCTTCATGGTGTGTCAAGCAGTGGCTTCAATAGTGTAAAGCCTCAGATGCTGATACCATTACATCCTGCATGTACGTCTTTGCAGATCTGCAGATGATTTGACAAAGAGGTAGACCACAGCTTGCAGCTCAGCTTGAGCACTTCCCCAAGCTACCAGCCATCCCTATTGCGTGTATGGAGTAAGCCTGCAGCATATGTTGTACCATGCCTCAGTGCACGGCAAAGCTGCAGCATGGCCATGGTCACTCACCGTGTCAGGGCTGACAGGGAGCTAAAGATGCCAGGGAGAACAGCGAGCAGACATTTCCCACAGCTA